CATTTCTCTCTTTTGTGCAGATAAATATTTTATTTTTTGAACCGGGCTCATTTCCATCATTTTTTGGTTAATTAAAGCAACCGGGATCAATTCTCTCTTTTTTCCGGGCTCAAAACTTATTTTATCCTTCTGCCGCGCACCTATATAACATACTAAAAATAAAAAAAAACAGAAAAGAGAAAAAAGGAAAACACAACTAAAATTTGAACGTTACGATGACACTAAATGCTAACACTGTAATAGACTACGCAAACCAACTTTAAAGATACGCAGATTAGATGCACTGACAAGCGCCTCAGTTAGTATCCTGTTCCAGTCAAGCGGGGTCTGCCAAAAGAAAGATGATTTCACTGTTTCGAATCCAGAGAAGGGAGCCGTGGCCCACCGAGAGTGGAATCTATTACGATCAGATGCTCTGGTGGTAGAAAGACTGATAAGATTAGAAGAATTTAGCAAGGAGTAGTTGTTGATTAAACGAAAATACAACCGTCTAGTTTTCATTTCAGGAATCCTCATCATATTGGCTCTATTTTCTTTGTCAATTCTGATGCCATTGGTAACATATTAACAGGATTTTGATCTGTAACGAAGCAGAGGCATCCGTTTTTTAGCATAGTGGGGTAAAAGCTAAACGGCGGTCTGTCCAGCTAACTGTAATTTCGTAACGTTTTTTGGTGATTTTGATCAATTTGCAGAAATTTTTCAAAAAGTCAGAACTCAAAAGTGAATGAGCCATTTTGTAGACAATTCAATTCTCTATCGAGTCGAAATCAGAGCCTTCAAATCGACAGATTCATCCTCAGTGGAAAAACTTGCACATATGTGAAGAAAATTCGTCTATAGTTAGATATATATATATATGAAACATACTGGAGAGGTCATGACAGGCTTTAGTCTACACATATGAAACAGAGAGTGATTAAAAAAACGAACCACTATTACATATGATATGAGGCGCCGTGAAGACGTGTCTTGCTAATTAACTACTCTAACAAAGTAAAAATATTGAAATTTGAGTAATAAATCTGATAAAACAACTCTAAATTTCTTCATAATCTATCAAACAATTAGTGAAATTTTGGGCACAACATCAAGAGAAATGGAGGATAATCCTCCTGATGGAGGAACAATTCACCGTAAGCGTAAAAACTCAACGCAACGAGATGATGAAAGAAGAAGCAAGTCAAGGGCCACAAATAATCCACAGCGACAGCAACATCCGCAACTGACAAAACCACCAGCACAGCTGGCTCCACTCATTTTACAAGGTGTTAAAATTACTCGTTTTCAGCTCAGCAAACTTATAACGAAAACCATGCCGGATGTGAAATTAATAAACATTCAGAGTAATAAAAATAATACATTTACCATCTTTGCTAGCGATGTAAACAGTTACAATCGAATACTACGAGATTTAGCCAAACAGAAATTTGATAATGAAAATGACGTCAAGGTGTATATTCCAAGATCGATCCAGAAGGTCCTGGACACTGATAAACAGGCTTTCTTGAAACGGGTTGATGTTGAAATAACAACACCAGAGATTGAAAATGCATTAACAGCAGCAGGATTTAAGTATGAAAAACTTGAACGCTTACAAAATTTCAAAAAGGACGGTCCAGGTACAACAGTTAAACTTACATTTGCTGATTCATTCAATCGTGATACAATTGTTCGTACTGGACTACATTTACAGCATTTAACTATCATAGCTGAACCAGCCAAGTATTTAACCAAGCCTATTCAGTGCTATAAATGCTTAGGTTTCGGACATATTTCAAAATACTGTCGTGCAACTCAGCAAGTATGTACAAGATGCACCGAAGCACACAATAGTAAAGACTGTGACAAAGATGCTAATCAAATTAAGTATAAAAACTGTGAGGGTAAATATTATGCAACCTCACACGAATGTGACAAATATAAAGAACAAGAAAAGTGACTAAAATCAACAATTGAGAATTATTCATCTACGCCATCCAGACGTACACGATCGTCACCGACACCTAATATTAATGATTATCGTGCGTTTCCGTCAGTAGGCGGTCCACGTCATCAAAACTCGTCAGCTACATCGCCTGTTGACATTGTTGAAGCTGTCTTTAAGACAGTTATAGCAATACTTCAACCAACTCTCGCTAAAATATTAGAAAAATTAGAATTAACAACAACCACCGCATCACCAGCGTCTACTACTGGAACAGCTATACATCAGAATCACATGGACCTTGTAAATTTTGCAACAGAAGAAGATCCTGATTAAATTGATTTGGATGACAACGAAGATGGTAAGAGTATAGAGATTGAAGAACCACAAGTGATTAACAATAATGATGATAGAGAAACTTTTTACGAGGTAATGAACCAAAATCTTAGCACAGCTAAGCGTTTAGTAGCCACAACCACTGATACGAGTAGTGTAGAGAAATCTCTTTACTCATTTCAACCGAAACATAAAACAACTCAGGAAATCAAATCCTCACGATGCTTTCTAGCATCGTGAGGAATTGATAGCCAGATTTCATGGTTTCGATGTGATATCACTCAATGAGACAGATCTTGATGCCAAGCACATTTTCTTTTTACCAAATTTCAACATTTTTCGCTATGATAAACCTGACAAAGGCGGCGGAGGCGTACTTTTAGCAATTCGCAACACCATTAGGTGTCACGAAGTGATTAATAAAACGGACAAATCAAACGAAATCGTTGCAGTGCAATTAGAAATGAAAAAGCAACAACTCCTTATCTGTTCCATGTACGTTCCATCAAAATCAAAAATAAACTGCAACTTATTTGATGAACTCTATCGACTACATCCGGCTACATTAGTGGTCGGAGATCTAAACGCTGCGCTATTCAGTCTATCTAGTAAAGGGTCAAGAAAAACCAACGGAAAAGGTTGGCAGCTGCAACAACTTGTTGAAGACAACATATTTTCGTGCGTAGAAGACGTAATAACAACGTACGAGCGTAACTCGTACGAGGAAAAGTTGAATTGGGTTCTTGCAACCCATCCAACTTTTCTTTGTATTACGAACTTGCAAACTCAGCCGCCAATGGGTAAGAACAGCGGTCATAAACCGATGATATTTAATCTTACATTAGACGCAGATGTCAAGCCACCGAGTTCCCGGTCTATTACTGAATTACAAGACCGCAAGTTGGAACGTTTAAAGGCAGGAACTCAACCAATACCAATTATTATCTCAATGGAATGAAAACAGGTTAATTTGCACACTAACAGATTTGGAAGCATACAATGCATTTATTACGAACAGCATCGTGTCAGCAGCTAAACTAGCTGTTCTTCCTGCTAATACAAAAATTAATTATACATTAAGTAAAGCAACCGTTCATCTCCTAAAGGAGAAATACAGACTCTACAGGAAAATGAAAAATTTAATTTTCACGAAAACAAAAAACTCTATTACAACCAAAAATTCAGTGCACGACAAAAGTTTCGCCCGCAGAATAAATGATTTATTCCACCTTTAGGAAAGGCATTGGAACTCATTTGATAACTATAATATACATTACCCTTAGACATTTCAACATTTATGTTCAGCTTCTTTATTTCTTGTGTTTTTCGTTTTAGGTTCGACAAATACTAATTCACGCAAAAATGCGCCATTTAACGAAAGAAGCGTGTTTATTTGCTGTCAAGGAGGCACAAAAACCAAATAAAAAATTAAGTACGATTGCACGTGCACTTAAGTGTGACCGTAGAACAGTTAGTCGTGTTCTGGTGCGCTTCTCGGAAACAGGATTATTAACCGATCAGCATCGACCAGGTCGGCCAACTGCTCTTACTGAAGACCAGCAAAAGATGTTAGACAGGTATATCACAAAAAACCCAACTGCAACGGCTAACCAACTTTCTAACTATGTCTTTGATGAGTTTGGCATTCGAGTTAGTGGACGCACTTTGCAACGATATCGTCGTGCTCCCGGCTTTTGTCCGAGAAAGCAACAAGTCAAAGTGAAATCAACTGAAGGTCAAATCGAAAAACGACATTTTTTTGCGCTAGAACATCAAAATACTAACATCAAAAAGTAGATTTTTATTGATGAAACTCACACTTAACTAAAAGAGCTCTTCTACGAGCAGAAATTTACGAGGACATTATCACGATGGAAAACCTACACACTTTATTATATTTGTAAACTTTTACTTTCCGTTGTATTGTTTTCTGACAAAAGACTTCGGTCATCAGTCAGCTTGTATATCCTTTTTTCAGGTTTATTAATAATAAACTGCTGTTTCCTCAAAAAAACGAACAGAAATGCAATGTCAAACAGCAAAATTAAAATAGTAAATTTTATACATCTCGCTGTGTTTCCTTTTTTATTTCTCTTTGGTTCTAGTTTATTTTGTGCTATTTAATCACGCTCTCTTTCATATGTCTGTAGACTAAAGTCCGTCATGACCTCTCCAGTATGTTTCATATATATATGTCTAACTATAGACGAATTTTCTTCACATATGTGCAAGTTTTTCCACTGAGGATGAATTTGTCGATTTGAAGGATCTGATTCTAATAAATTTCAGTTTCCAAGCAAATTAGCTGCAAAATATGAATACATTTATTCTCTAAGTCCTGCCACTATCACTTAGGTTATGTTTCAATTTTTAAAGGTCATCCCACGTTATCATACTTATTACACTTTACCTTTTAAACCTGCGTTAACCCAGCTTAGCGTGGAAACAAATGCATTCAGATACTTTCCAATCCATGTTCCGTCTTGTGATAATCTGCAGTGCAATGTGCGTGTTTGATCCCCAATTTCATTCAGAACTGTGGGATTAGCTGCGATTAATAAGTTAATGGCGTGGTGAAGGTGAATAAATGCTCCGTAACGCGTTAGCTGTAGTGGTATTTGAGAGCCTAAAAAGAGATTTAAAAAGACATTTTTGAGATTTTTGATAGTATGTAAACGACTTATGTTTCGTTTGAGTTGTTTTGTTTCTAAATTTCTTAATGCACCATATGCATTATTTGCAATAAAATATTCTGTTTTCCATGCGAGTGATGAACGATGAAAACGATTTTGTAGTAACTTGAAGTGCTTTTGTTTTTCTAAATGAACGCGCGGATCATCGTTTTCGTCATCGTAACTGTCTGAGTTTTCGCTACTTTCATCAAACTCTTCTCCGTGTTCGAGTTCCACAGACGAATCGTTTTCCTCAACTTTGTTTTCATTGTCGTCATCATTTTCGTCTCTAAGCCAATCGCTGCTTATAGGCGCATCAGCACCTCCGACAGCATCATTATAGCTAGTAATACATAAATGACTAACATCGACATCCATAGATGCGCTGAGTTCGGAACGAACACGCAATGGCGTAGTTATTGGAACATCCTAAAAAAAAAAGATTTGTTGATTAATAGTGACATATACAGTGACAAGCGCCGTATTTACTGCTGTGGTCGAGCTTGTCTAACTAAGAAACTAAATTCAAACAAAGGCTGCGCTCTGCTGTAGCATTCGAAAAGCCTAATTTTTCCTTCAGTACTGCTCGTTGAGGTGGTGTGTGAGTAGTAGAATATTGTACATTTTATGTCTTTACATTTTCTCCAATTTTGAAAAGTAAGACTTCCATATGAATATATGCGCTCTATCTCTCTATCCTTTACATCTTCTTTTGGATGGAATAGTGTATTCACGGTTGATTAACAGCCAGTCTGCAGTAAATATTGCTAGACATTCTCATCGTATTAGCGCTTTGTTTATTTCTTTGCTTCTTTTCAATACTTCGGAAAAAATGCAATGTTCATTTTGCTCCGAGAATTGGAGGACTAAGGACGAATTAATCTTTCATTGTAAACATAAGCATCCGGATAAAAAGGAGTAGTGGTGGATTTTCTCGGTTGCATTAATAAGTATCAATCGACACGAGCATTAAGAAAACATGGGTGTCAGAAACACAAGTTTAGTTTTAAGGTAGAATGCTTTTGTTCCTTTTATGCATATTTTCACCAATACAATAAAATGCTGACTATTCAGAAATCAAGAAAATGAGGAAAATTTTATTGTGCACTGACTAGTAAAAAGGTGTAGATTGCGGAGTAGTGCATTATAAATAACCGCTTACCGACTTAAAACTCGAATAGAAAAGGGTTTCTACTTTAAAACATATTCTGCCTTCGTAGCTTGGTACTGAGAAAAGTTTCGCTACTGTCCAAACATTTCCCCGCAAACTACAGAAATTATTTAGGATACTAACGGGTGGGCCATAATAAACAGGTCAAAATGTTTTCCTATTTCTGAGATACTTTCCTTTAATGCGGAGACTTGGCTCATGGCTCATTCTTTAGAATTAAATTCTATTAAATTTTTTGAATTAAGAGATGTGGAATTACAGAATAATCATTTTTCTGACAAACGTTTTGAACTTATATCTTCGAGTCTATGAAAATTTACAGTTTTCACTTTTTAAAGTAAAAGACACAGCAATATGTTTAGCATTGAATTAACTGTGTGAAAATAAACTTTTTGCACACTAACCTGGTTCTGAAAAATCCATTTTACCAAAAACGTGACGGAAAGACCACCACCTCTCAGTTCTAGCATATTTCTGTCAAACCATAAAAGCAAAAATTTTGAAAAGAGTGTAGAAATATAGAGAGCAAAATTGCCATTCGATTCATGCGAAATACTTTATGTTTACTAGCAAACTTCATCCGGAAAAACGGAGCACAAATCAAACAGATAGTCAGCGGTTACGCGTCACCGCACTTTAAGTTACTGCTTTCAAAACATTCTTCTTCCACTTTAAAAACCACTTACTCCCAGCAAAAGGATTCTGGTGAGATTTTAATGCTAAAGACTTTCGAATGATGCATAAACCATGATTTTCTCCATATCTTTTGCTTAAAAAGTGGCTATGCACGCATAAAAACAAAAAATTAAGTTCAAATTCGAAATCACCATGTTAAAAAACCTACTCACGGTTATTTTCAGCTCAAAATAACCAAATGAAGAAAAGCAGAAAAAGTAAGTAAAAGTGAGGTTTGAGCCTTCGTCTTTCTGCGCCGAAGCTCCAAACACCGCTTGGCTGAGTCAGTCGTCTCACTAGGTCATCTCTGTAACTCAGAGACACGCTGCCACTAGGTCACTGACCTACTGATGCAACAGTTTTCTCAGCGGGTAAAGCGGATCCATTTAGATGAGTCACTCAGTAGGTCACTGACCTACTTTATTTTTTACAGTGTGGTAGTAACTATTGTTTCGTCTACGACAGTATACTACTTAGGGCTATCCAAAAGTAGTGAGGTAGGTACTATTTTTTCTTACAGAAAGCTTGAAAATTTTTTCTTTTTTTATGAACAGACAGAGCGCCTTTCGCTCTATTTTTCTATGCTATTTGATCACTGTTCAACTAATATCATAATAATAAAATTTCGATAAGATCTATTTCTTTCGCATATGTGCTGGTAGCATGAACATGAATACTCCTGAGTATTTTTTGAATAATGTTTAACAGCAACAAGATAGAGAACTGTGGTTTTCACCACTGCAAAGAGGGGATGAAGACGCATCGAACCATGTATTACTGATTTTTCTAACCTGTTTTTTGTAAGGTTTTTAGTTGACCTTTTAAAGAACAAACCTATCCCGTGAGTTCTTTACAGTGAATTTCCAATAATCAGGTTCACATTCAAATAATCATAAATCATATCATAAAGAAGTTATTGCTGTCGTTTAAAAATCGTAGGAACAACTAAGTTGATGTTTATATTCTGTAAATCCAATTGTTGCCGCTTGGTAAAGTTACCTTAGTAGCCGATATTATTTTTCTCTCTTCCATTGTCTCTCTCTCTCTCTCGCTTTTTCTCTCTCTTCTATTGTTTCTAAAACGAAAACATTTTATATTCTCCTATTTTTATCAAAGAGAAACACATATCCTCTTTGATATTTCTCGAAAAAATGCAGAAATCTTTATCTCAACAAAATACGGCTGCTCTCATTCAAGATTATATCGTTGGTGTTGTTTATGATAAAACAAAAGATGTTTATTTGATGACTAATCATCGTACACGTGGACTCTGGTTTCCCTACAGTGAACGTCGTATTAATGAAACAAGTTTACAAACAGTTAAGCGATTACTTGAACATATTGTCTCATATGACTCAGAACAAGTACAACTCATTAAAGTTCGTTCAGCAAAAACTTTACCATTTAAAGGATACGATACTCTGTTTTATTCTATCGTACCTAAACAGAATGCTATTAACGTTTGGTTAAATGGAAAGTGTGATGATTTAGAACGAAATTTAATATCAATGACGGATAATGTAGGTTACTGGTTAACAACAAATCAGTTAAGACAACTGGCAAAACAATCTCATCTATTGGGTATGGAACCCCTTGCATTAGCGAAACAATTTAAAGATAATTTTAATTTCAAGAGTAATTCATCATCAACTGTCATTTTTGAAGAGGTTAGTATTCCAATTATTGACACAAATACAAAAACCATTGCTGCCTCATCAGCGAACAATACCACATCAAATGTTGCTGAAACACTTGTCATATCCGCTAAATTTACACCACAAATACAAGAAAAATTATTTGAAGAATTTCATTTGAATGTTATACCAAGTGATTATCTGAATTATGAAACATTCAGAATATTATTTGTTCGAAAAGACGTAGAAATAAATCGTTTGAATGATTATTTTCGAGCATTTGACTGTTCACAAAGAAGTTATCTCACGTTCGTCGACTATTTGCTGGGTATGGCTGCCATGGATCCGACTACACAGCATGGTGGAGTACCAGCAGAACAGCGATGCCGGTACATTTTTCGTTTATATAATGTGGCAAATAATTCTCGAATGACATTTGATGAATTTAAAACAATGGTACGTGATATACACAAAAATAAAGGACAAAATTTAACCGGTGAAATCCTATACGATGAAGCAGCTCAAATGTTTCGATCGTTCGGTCTTCGACTAGATCAGACATTAGGACTAATGGATTTTTTGAGCGGTGTGGGACAATTACGTTTTCGTGGCACTTCTGTCTTATTTCGTCTAACTGTGTCTGTTGCTGACATGTTAAAACGATCATCAACGTCACCAATACCATTAACGCCTACAGCTCGATCGCCAAGTACAATCACCATGCCAAGACGATCTAGTCGCATGGGTCCTATGGCGAATGCACCATCAAACACGTCAATCGATCAAACGATACCATACGAAATTGCCACACACATTGTCAAGGTGTGTTTTCTGTAGAGGCATGAGAGAGGCAACTTAATATGCTTGAATTGGTTTTTAGGTGAAAAAAACGGGCGTTGTTATCGATGTAACATCTCTGTATGATTTAGAAGTTAATGGTGCTGTTAGTGGTTCAACAGCCTTATTTTTGGACGATGCTAATGGAAAATATGACCGTTTGAATAGCCAGGATTGTTTTAATCAACGAACGCATGCAAATGAAATGTTAAATGGACTAAGATATTTTGAACGAGGGAGTAAAGAAGGTGGTCCAGCACTAAAAGAACCGTTTACTTGGGGTAAAGTGGATATGGGAGCGATGGCAAGATGTTTAATGGTATTATGTAAACAAATTTACACTATATTTTTGAAAGAAGACCGAATGATACGTGTTTCATCAGCATGTTATATACTTGGTGATTTACATGGGAATTTTCGGGATCTAACGTGTTTTGAGAAAACATTCTGGAGATTGGGCCCAGTGCTAACACCAGCAAGTCTATTATTTTTGGGTGAATGCTCAATTCAACAGGATCAAAAGATTTCTATTAGACTTTGTATATGTTTCAGGAGACTATGTTGACCGTGGTCAAGAAGGTGTTGAAGTAGTTGCCTATTTGTTTGCTCAAAAAGTGCTGTGCCCTCATAAAGTTAGTATAGCACTATTTTTTTAATTCCACTACTATAGTAGGGGAATTTATAAAGGGTGTAGTAGTGGAATCTTTATAAAGAAATACTTTTAGGTGCATTTGTTACGTGGAAATCATGAACTGCGTAATGTTCAAGATATGTTTCAATTCCATACCGAATGTCGACGAAAGTTTGGTGTAGATTTGGGCGAACAAGTTTGGGAAGAAATAAATCGTTGTTTTGATACTATGCCCATTTGTGCTTTGGTTGATGATCGAGTGTTATGTGTCCACGGAGGAATACCTTCATTATCCTATGATAAGAATTTTTTTGCGGCTGTGGCAAGTATTCCGTGTCCCTTGAGAGATCCCGAGACAGAGTCACCTATTGCATGGGAATTATTGTGGAATGATCCGTTGAGTAAAGAACTTAATATGGAAGCAAAAGAATTAGACATGAATAAAGGGTTCGTGTACAATGTTAGACGCGGCACTGGCTTCTTCTTTTCGGCAAAAGCATTAAATGACTTTTTACATGATAATTCTTTATCTTATGTTGTTCGGGCACATGAAGTACAACAAAATGGTTTTAAAGTAAGTAGACTACATTGATATGACTGTTGTTCTGGATTAACTATTTTTTTAGGTTCAACTAAATGGTCGTTTATTAACGGTTTTCTCATCGAGTCATTACTGTGGAGGTGAAAATGAAGCAGCAACAGTTTTATGTGATTCGAATAAGCTACGCCTTATTCGGCTAGATACAGGAATTTAACTCTGTGGTGATAATACTTGGTTTAGATTTCAAGCTGTTTTATTTTATCGTGCTGCACAAGGTCATCACTGATTAATAAGAAAGTGGTTCATTTTCTAGATTTTGATAACAAAAGCACTTTTTTTCTATGCACACTTTTTTACTAGGGAAGCGCCCAAGCAGTTACAGAAATTTGTATGATCTATAATACTTGTTATTAATTTCTGAATGAAATTGGCCCGTTTTTCAAGTAAGAACACCACATGTTTTTTCAAGCTAATAACTTATATATTCAATCGTTCCTGAGGAAAAACAAGAGGAGAAATTACTATTTTCTGACTTATTTTCAGACGGAAAACTGCCTTGTCATCAGCAAGAGTTTCTAGTATCCATCAAATGCCAGCATTGCTATCAGCAGTATTAGTGCAAAGAATATGTTTAATAAAGTCAGCTTATAATGTCAAACTTCAGAGTGGAAGTACAACTAGTAAAAGCCCATGAAGATCTTTAATTAACAATGTTTCAATTTCAAAAAAAATCTTTTATCTTCATATTTGATTATACAACAGGGGAAAGCACTTAATCAGTTTGTTAACAACTTTAATTACGGAAAGTCATACTCCTCGTTGTTCGCTTTTTGTGTAAAAAATGCAAAGTTTCGATCATATTTAATAGTAGAATGAATCTATATAGGCTTATACCATTGTCATTTTATATCCGGCCTCCAAGTATTAATTTTATATGTGTTAGAGAGAGAGGTAGAAATTTTGATGAATAAATAAGACGGAAAATCATTCAAATGTTAAATAGGGAAATGATAAAAACTCCCAACTAATGGCAGAAAATGTGTCTGTTATTGTCTGTTTATAACGTGAAATGCACAATCGAACAAAACTTCTGGTATTGTGTGAGTATATATTGAATAGTAGTTTCGTCGTTTTGATGATCACACACATCTTATAAATTTCTTAGCTGGTTTATGCATCTAGTACACTGTAGGAGAATGGTTTTGCAATCTCCCTCCCAGGAAAAAGAACAGACAAAACAAGCGCCTACTTTTAAAAGAAATTTTCGATTTTTGAGCAATTTCATCGAGAATCTAGAACAACAAGTGAATAAATTCTTCAAGTCGTTCAATATGTGCACATGGTAAAGAACTTGACGGCCTATCCACATAATGATCCCTTTTCTCGGAAGTCCGTCGCGCTTTGTCGTGAGTATAGTTCTGCGAAGAAAGCTCTTACAGAGCTCAGAGACGTCTCATTTTGAAGAACGAACAAATTTCTTTAAAATGATAATCAAGCGAATGTGGGTGACTGGATGGCTATCAAGATAACGTTTTTGAAACAGATGCCACATCTTTCGAATAAGGCGTTCAGTTTACAGTCTGTATATGACCACGCTGCTAACTATTGAATGAACAAATTCTTCAAGTCTTTCAATATGTGCACATAATACGGAACTTGAAGTGCTATTAACGAATATCACATGGTGAAATTTTAAAAACAATTTTTTAGGAATCAGTAGGCCTCGAAGCTACGACGGACATTTTCAAACAGGAATCTACTAGTCTTGTGACTTTGTCGCAAAGAACGCCTGCTTTCAATATTGAAAACTCTGTGCCAAACCTCTATGTCAGACTTAATCTCTCTACACCACTAGCTTTGTGTAGATCAGGAAGTATCGATCAAATCTATCATAAAGGACCGGTAGGGCTTGAGGGTTTTGAATATTGAAAGTGAGCATTCTTTGCGACAAGACTTCAAGGCTTGGTGCACCCTTACTTTCCAACATAATCGAGACGTCTTTGTTTCTTAGCACTGATATTGATTAAATCTATAACTTTAAGAATCCATCCTTGCAATGATAGTCGCAGATGGTAATCATTGGGAAAAATAAATTATAAACTGCAGAAAGATGTGGAGGTTTTTAAATACAAACAGAATTTATCAGAAATGTGTCCTGTATTGTAAATTTCCAGACGAACCAAATGAGATTTCAATATGTACGTTTTAATTACCTTTTTTGATAAGATACGATTGCAGAACTCAGTTACAGTAGTTAATACCAAACATTCTTTTATTTTTCATCTCTTCCTCGTTTCAAATCATCGTGATGGTTTACAAAACAGTGACTTATAAAAGTGACTGTATACAGTATAATCCTCCTTTTCGTACGTTAAATATATTATCGTAGTGAGTAAACACGGATATACGACGAAACAAATACAGCTGCTCAGCGTACGCAAGACTACTCTTTTTCTCCTTATCATGAGTGTTAATCATGTGTTTGGTATCATTTACTAAAAAAATCATATTGAATTTCTTGAGGTGATAAAACAAATGTAGTTACTAATATTTTGTAAAAGCGTTGCTCTACTACAATTGTCGGACACAACTTTCAAAATATACATTTTGAATTCATATCGAGATTTTATTATGTGTTTATACTGTTTGCATAGCATTATATCATTCAAAAGTGTATTTAGGAATATTTGAGTGTCTACTAAAAGAATTACCTGTGTATTTGTCTTAAAAATATAGAATTTGTTGTTTTCACTTAGTCCCGGATGCAGAGTTGTAGCCGGTCCGGTGCCAGTCCGTTCTGATGTAAAAGTTTAGACCGGCCGGTCTCCACCGATCTTTTGCCGGTCTAGAAAGATTTTCAAGCCGATCGGTGATTGACCGTTTTTTTGTCGGTTTTGAAATTCTTAGAATTTTTCTCCTCTTCAGTAAAAAGTGAGTTTTTCTACCGTCTTGTTCGTCTAGAAAATCTTTGAAAACTGACCGGTTTTCTGCCGTTTTTACACCAAAAAGTTTTTCAAAACCGGCAGGTCTTTGCCGATTTTCACCAGTCTAAACCGATTTTTGGACCGGCCGACCCGATCCGGTCTCTTATTTTTAGACTCTACCTTGATGTTCACTTTTAAAAATTGAAAGCTAACTCAAGATTAAGTATGGACGTTATTTAAAAGATTAAAGCGGGTACACTGCCCGACAGGGTTATCTCAAGATCATCATAATGAGTATTTGAGCATCACTAGAAGTATTCATTTCTTGAGTTATCAAACTTCAAAAAAGCATTGTCAGAAATCGAACATCAACAAATATTGTACTATTTCCTTTTCATTATGCTTCGCTGATATGTAAGACATAGTTCTGTTAATATTTGATCTGTCGTTTTTTTAAAAGATATACGGAAAATTTATCATCTGCTGATTTATATTGCGATTGTGGTAAAAAAAGGTCAGCTTGTCAATTTTCTCACATGATGACCGTATTACTAAAAAGTTAATGTCTAACACTTTGATAGTTAGATTTAACTCTTAAGTACAAGAATTGCTATGTAGACATTAACAAGTATTTTGTGCTCTTTTAAGTAAAATATCGGGTAATTAAGATATAACTATAAAACTATGTGATTGAATTGTTGTAAATTCCTTTGTACACATGACCTTTGTCAATGTAAAGGTTGAAACTTAATAGTAAGATGTCTGTTTTTGGAAAAAAGATATTAGACTACGATGAATGTGAGAGCTAAGCAAAGCTCTTATTAAAAAAAACAACAAACAAACACTTTTCTTGTGTTAATTGACAGACAGAAAAGGTTGAAATAAAACAAAATGACAACTCCGTTAGAAAGACTATATTTATTAATCATTAAATAGACACGTAACCTTGTTTCTGTTATCATTTGATCAATTTCTTTCATTCGAAGTATATATATATTATATATATCTATATATATATAAAATAAGAATTCATATCAATCATATTTTGGTTTTGTCTTCAGAACAGATATTATATATATTTTCTTAAAAAATCGATTGATTTTTTGATTAGTCAATGATTAGTCAATTGTATTGATTTATTTAAAACGAATAAAAACATGTCTATGATTTTTAAAAAATCAAATATATCTACTCATAAATCTCAGTTAATAATTTTTATAAATCATCATTTTTTATCTTCTTATACCTCTATTACTCTTGAATATAGATGAAAAATGAACATTTAATCATGCCAGATAACAGATTAACAAATAACATTGAATCATCTCAAATAAGTTCATTAATCGACGATCATAACCAATCATCAGATTATATACCGCAAACTACATCGACAGTGATTAATGAAAATAAACATGTAGAAGTTAAAAATATTCGTGCACGAGATCATTGGAGTAGTCGAATTGTTTATCTGTTATCAATTATTGGATTTGTTGTTGATCTAGGTAAGAGAATTTTAGAAATATTTTACACACCGTGTTTAACGTTTTGACGATGTGCACGTTTCTCCCTATTTAGGTAATGTTTGGAGATTTCCTACAACATGCTATCGTAATGGTGGTGGTGCATTTCTTATACCATATTTTACATTTTTATTTCTTGTTGGTCTACCATGTAAGCATTATAATTTACTCGAAGAATATTAAAGAAATTAACAGATATATTCTCTATTTTAAGGTATGTACATGGAATTAGCCATAGGTCAATATCATCGATTGGGTTATATAACTGTTTGGAATAAAGTTTGTCCAATGTTGAAAGGTATTGGCTATTCAATGTTAATTATAAATATTTATGTTTTATCCTATTATAACACTATTATTGCCTGGTCTATCTACTATTGTTTCGCATCATTTCGCACTATTGTACCGTGGACATCATGCAATAATTCATGGAATACACCTAATTGTTATTCAGTTTATCAATCCAATGTAACTTTGTCACATAATCAATCGTGTTCATCAGCCGAAGAATACTACGAACGACGAGTGCTACAATCTCAAAAATCGATGGGTATCAATGCTCTAGGTTCACTACGATGGGAACTTGTGGGATGTTCGGTGATTGTTTTTATTCTCATTTATGGATCTATTTATAAAGGTGTTAAAACAGCAGGCAAAGCAATTTGGTTTACCGCTTTAATACCGTATGTTGTATTAGTCATATTATTATTGCGTTCATTTACATTAGAAGGTATTATGGACGGTTTAAAGTACTATATTTATCCTACATTTGATAAATTAAAAGAATATTCTGTTTGGCAAGTAAGTGTATTTAGTTGTAAGTTTCAACCAATTGGTTTTTGTTTTTATTATTCGTAGGCTGCTGCTGTTCAAATATTTTTCAGTTTGGGTCCAGGCTTTGGTGTCCTATTAGGTTACGCTAGTTATAGTGATTTTCACGATAATGTTCCACGCACTGCTATAGCAGCTAGTTTAATTAATTGTTTTACCAGTTTATTATATGGTATTGTTATCTTCTCTGGCATTGGTTATTTATCACATAGACTTAACTCAGATGTGAGAAAATTTGTCGAGGGTCAAATGAGCCTAGTATTTATTGTTTATCCTGAACTTCTCTCATCGATTAA